ACACACATTCAAACAGTGAGTGTGTATTGACTCCATTCGTATGTGTATTGCATTTAAACGTAATATTGATTACAATTTGTTGAATGCATTCAAAGCATTGATTGTGTGATTAGTGTTGTGTTCATTGGTTTGGCTTTTGATGTGATGTTGAAAATGAATCGCAAAACCAAAAGCAGTCATTGTTTTGATTTTGCCTTAAATATGGTAACTATGGATGAGATCAATGAATTGCATTTGCATAGAGTTTACAAATTAGATTCAAGTGTTTGCAAATCAAAGGCCAATAAGTGAGTCAATCCAACCATCATTACTTTGTTGTCCCTTTCGTGCCATTAATTGTCTCAATCACTGAATGCACAGAAACTGCGGCCAAAACATGCGATGTCTCAATGGTTTAGGTGAGAGGCCGTGGCTGTCATCGGCCGACAACTCGTCCAATACGGCCAACGACTCGCACTTAGGCCGAAGAGTCGACGGATCCTTTGTGGGCCTCAAGAACTTAGGCGCCACTTGTTATGTCAATTGTCTCCTTCAGGTTTGCAGACATGTCATGCGTTTACCGGTGTTTACCTTTTGATTGATATTAGGTTTGGTTTCATAACCCAATCTTCCGATCGATGATATATCGATGGAAACCAGAAGAAGATCCCGAAGAGAATGAATTGGACACGAATTCTGTTGGCTTTCCAGAGGAAGTGTTTGTTCCGAAGACATGTATCGGTAAATTGCAGCTTATATTTGCTTTAATGCAATTCGGAGTCCGGAGTTCTGTGGATCCGAAGCCTATCATCAAATGTCTTGAATTGGATGAGAAAACACACATTCAAACAGTGAGTGTGTATTGACTCCATTCGTATGTGTATTGCATTTAAACGTAATATTGATTACAATTTGTTGAATGCATTCAAAGCATTGATTGTGTGATTAGTGTTGTGTTCATTGATTGGCTTTTGATGTGATGTTGAAAATGAATCGCAAAACCAAAAGCAGTCATTGTTTTGATTTTGCCTTAAATATGGTAACTATGGATGAAATCAATGAATTTCATTTGCAGAAAGTCTACAAATTGGATGCAAGTGTTTGCAAATCAAAGGCCAATAAGTGAGTCCATCCAACCATCACTACATCTTCACTTTGTTGTCCCCTTTCGTCCAATTAATTGTCTCAATCACTGAATGCACAGAAACTGCGGTCAAAACATGCGATGTCTCAATGGTTTAGGTGAGAGGCCGTGGCTGTCATCGGCCGACAACTCGTCCAATACGGCCAACGACTCGCACTTAGGCCGAAGAGTCGACGGATCCTTTGTTGGCCTCAAGAATTTAGGCGCCACTTGTTATGTCAATTGTCTCCTTCAGGTTTGCAGACATGTCATGCGTTTACCGGTGTTTACCTTTGGATTGATATTAGGTTTGGTTTCATAACCCAATCTTCCGATCCATGATATATCGATGGAAACCAGAAGAAGATCCCGAAGAGAATGAATTGGACCCGAATTCTATTGACTTTTCAGAGGAAGTGTTTGTTCCGAAGACATGTATCGGTAAATTGCAGCTTATATTTGCTTTAATGCAATTCGGAGTCCGGAGTTCTGTGGATCCGAAGCCTATCATCAAATGTCTTGAATTGGATGAGAATCGACAACAAGACGCTCACGAGTTCTCCAATCTATTCTTCTCTCTGATTGAGAGGAAATTGAAATTCCAGACCAATCCAAACGTGGCTAAAGTTATTCAAAGCCAATACTGCGGCAAATTTGCTTATATCACAAGGTTTTGGCTTTTGTTCACTTCTATATCCAATAGATTTTAACCATTTATATGTTTTACAGATGTCTCACCTGTGAGGACATGTCTTCACGCGAATCTCAATTCTATGAATTAGATCTAAATATTAAGGGCTGTAAAGATCTTTACGACAGTTTAGGCGATTATTTAAAGGTTTGTTTATTTATTTAATTGATATTTAGTTATAATATGTACTGATTTACAGGTGGAAAGTCTTGAGGGAATGAATCAATACTATTGTGGAAGTTGTGGACAGAAGCGAAATGCGTCCCGATATATAAAACTGAGAAAACTTCCGCCAGTTTTGAACATTCAATTGTTGCGATTTGTTTTCGATCCGCACATAAAAAAGCTAAACTCTATCATCAGATTTCCAGACATTTTGGACGCCAAACCATTCATTGATTCGGCCGATGGTTTGGATCCAAGAGAGACGACATATCATTTAAGCGCTGTTCTCATACATCGGGGTCCGAGCGCTCATTCCGGCCATTATATCGCTCACATCAAAGACCAAAACACCGGCTTTTGGTATAAGTTTAATGACGAAAAAGTGGAACAAATTGAGGGCAAAAAGTTGAAACTCGATTCTGATGAAGTGAACGACGAGAACAGCGATACAAACGGCAATGTTTTGATTAAAAACGATCGCAAGGGTTGTCATCAGTCGAATAACGCATATATGTTGGTCTACAAGAATGAGATCCAAACCAACACTGATTTGGCCAACAATTACAGCGACTGGGGTTTACCTCAATATCTAATGGATTTCATCGAAAAAGATAATAAATCGTTTGAGGAATCGATTGCAGAACAAATGAAATTGAAAGTAATTCTCGCATCACTTTATAATTATTAGATTTTAGTTTAATATTTATTATATAATTATTTGATAGGAAGAAGAGATGTGTTCTTATATTGAGCGTAAAACAGAGATAAACCACATCTATGAACAGTTGACCGCTGATGGCGACAAACCATATGAGTTTATATCGAAAAAGTGGTTAATCCATTGGTTAAGCGCTAAACCTTTGGAACAAATAAAGCCGATCGACAACACAGACTTGTTGTGCATTCACCGTAAACTCAATTTCAAGTCATTGTCTTCTATCAAATGTATCTCAAAAAGTGGCGCAGACTTGCTGTACGAGAAATACGGTGGCGGACCCATACTTAGGTCCAATTCTCTGTGTATTGCATGTGTGGCCAAACAGGTGGAAGTGATTAAAACAAAGACAAAGATTGAAGAGGATATCAAAACGATTACATCTCAACTCAAGTATACTCCCAATCTAGAGGAAGAGTGCTATTGGGTCGGAAAGGAATCGTTGAAATCGTGGAAACAAATTAAATTAAAATCAATTGAATATAAGAATCCAGAAGTGAATGGTTTGTATTATTGTTTGACGTGTATAGACATGAATACATCTATGAATTGATTTGACAGATAATTCCGACACATCTGTTGAGGTGATTGAGAGCAATGACATTGATTTTGAGATCTCATGTCTGAACGACGACATCATTTGCAAACACGGTTTGTATGATTTTTTGTTGCTTTATTTGAGAAGTAATATTATATATTATTTTTACATTTAATAATTTTAGGAAAACTAACACCCGATGAAAATAAACGAAGACTTGTATCAGTTCTGGTTTGGGAAACACTTAAATGTCATTTTCCAAACGCACAGCAATACACGCAAAAGAGCACATTCTGTGAAGAATGTTTGGTCAGTTTGAATTGAATTTGCACTCAATTATATCTAATTTGGTTTTGAATATTGCGTTTAGTCTTATAATAAAGCGTTTGAATCGTTTAAAACACAACACAAAGAGATGGCAATGAATCAGAAGCTAATTTTGCCCAATCTTTTGGCTGAAAGACATCGATTGGTTTGGGACGATCTCAACCCTACCGCTCGATACTATGCTTTGAGCAGAAAATTTCTCACCTCTTGGAAGAGATTCATAAAGTAAATGATTTTAATTTGTTTTTAAAACATTCATTTTAGAAATATTCATAAACAGATTTTTATTACCCTAAAAACCCATAGATACGCCGCGGCTTATCTAATGAAAAAAGTTCATTTTATGAAAAAAATAGAAAATCGGCTTATCTATGGGTTCGACTTATTTATGGGCATATTTATTCATAAAATATGTTAATTAAAAAAATTTTAATTTTAAATTCAAATAATCATATAATTGTTTAATTACAAAATAATGTTATGCATTTAATCAAAGCCATCAAATTCTTCATTAGATTTTGTAAAATTTTCAAACAAATGCTCTAAATTATCTGAATCTGAATTAGACGACTAGTCAATAACTAATAAAACTCAAAACGTAAACCAGTATGTCCCAAAAATTACGTTCCAAAACTTACGTTATATTAAATTCGGCTTATACATAGGTACCGGCTTATCTATGGGAACATTTTACTTTTGATATTTTATGATTCGGCAGAATTGAATTTGCACTCAATTATATCTAATTTGGTTTTGAATATTGCGTTTAGTCTTATAATAAAGCGTTTGAATCGTTTAAAACACAACACAAAGAGATGGCAATGAATCAGAAGCTAATTTTGCCTAACCTTTTGGCTGAAAGACATCGATTGGTTTGGGACGATCTCAACCCTACCGCTCGATACTATGCTTTGAGCAGAAAATTTCTTACTTCTTGGAAGAGATTCATAAAGTAAATGATTTTAATTTGTTTTTAAAACATTCATTTTAGAAATATTCATAAACAGATTTTTATTACTTAAAAAGAGAAATTATATGTTGATTAGAATATAATATTATTTCTACCATATATAATTTGCCTAAAACTTGATTAGAATTAAAATAATCTTAAAGTAAGGATATGATCATTAGCCGTCTCACAAGCCAGACAAGAGGCAGTAGTGTACAGTTAGATTATACCTTAGTAATAGTGATTAATGCTATCAAATGAAAATGTACTAAATCGGGAAAATGTGAAAAATTGCTTTACTAATCACAGTATTGACTATTTATTATAATATTTCATTTCAACGACAATACCTAGATATAGAACATGTACACAATATATCTAATGATTTGCTCTTGAAGTGTTGTTTTGGGGAATATATTTTTAAAAAATAGACATTACGGGAGTTTTGTTAAAATATATTCCCTAATAGTTTGTGGAATCCTTTGTAAATATAATTTTAATTAATATAAATAATGTAACCGGTGAATGAACCATGATGTACCAAATCAGTGTGCAATGTATCACCCCTTTGAATAATCATTTAAGTTGCACATTCAAAGGGGTGATACATTGCACACTGATTTGGTAATGTGCAACTTAAATGATGGCACTTTTTTAATCCAGTATGCGCACATTTTTTACTCCAGGATATTTTCTAATATAAACACTTACATCATATATACATTATATTATAGAATTTGGGAAAATTGGATCTAATGTTAATAGAATTAAGTTTTACACGAGGTTTAGGGCTTGAATTTGAATGCAAATAATTAGGTATATGTTATAAATAATTAGATTTATGTTATAAATGTGAAAAATGGTAATTTATATGTTGTTATTTAAATGCAATAAACATTTGGTAATACTGTAGTCTATTACTAATTGATGCGTTTAAAGTTAGTATTTGTTTTGACTAGTGTTGACTGGGGATAGGATTATAGCGAAATGGTTATACAATAATTATACAGTAACTTATGAGTTGGAGTAGACGACGACCCCATATAAGTTACCTAATGGTGGAGTAATATAGCGTTGATATGAAATTGAAAGACTGCCAATCCTTATCTGGTTATGACCGCTGTTTTCCCATTCATACTGTGTATCGATTTCTTACTCTAATAAACAGTTAACTTTGAACACAATCTAAAACGGCATTAATTTAGTAATTTTATTTGAAAATAATGCTAACGCTTATAAAGTTGACCCAAATTTATAATTATATTTATCAGAATGCGATTCAATCAAAATATATTTTATCATTTAATGCATTGAAAATTAAGCTTTAGGTAAGAATTAGTACTTAAATCGCAAATATAATGAGAAATTGGGCGCAAATGATGCGTTCAGACTGTTAACCATGTTTTGGTCTCAATATTTGATTATTTGAGACAGAGTTTTGTGTTTAAAAAGGTATCAATTTATGTTGAATAGATTTAACTCATTAATCCGATTCACAAATTTATAAAAATACAGTAAATCTCTGTCTGTGTCTCAAATTTAGTGTTTGATTCTATCAATGATTTTAAGTATTATTTTTGGTAAAGACTTTTATAAGAATCTAAAAGTTTTTTTGTTATTAAAGTTATAGATATTAGAGTAAAGTTGTATTTTAAAAAGTTGAACATTTTTTATGTGGAAATGTTCTCAACTGTTCTCACTTGGCTTTAGGGATGACTTAGGGATCACTAATAATATGGGAGAAGACTATGATATTATGTATGCAATGCTCTCATGACAAGCGAATTGATTGATGAGTTATCCATATCTCACAAAACACACCCAATATTTCTTTAGTATATCTTTCATGGAATACAACTGCGATCATAATCTCTATAACCGAAAAAATAGTGCATTACTACTATTCGTTTGACATTCATTGATATGCTATCAATGATGGCAAACCGTTTTCATTCACTCGCTGTTTGTTTCAAAGGTTAACTATTTTTCATTTACTTAATTGTTTCTATTATTGAATTGATTTTTATGGGAACTTTAATTATAATACTTGTAATTAATCAAAAACTATACCGACTTTATGCCTAAACTGAAGCTTCAATTCCGTATTTCTTCGTTACCTTCTCTAAGGTTCTCAAAGATTATTCAATTCTTTAATACAAATACTTCGGTCTATAGGACTGATAGTCACATGAAAAATGCATTTGCATCAATGCTGAGCTACGAGTCAACATTCAATTTTTATAATGTACTTATTTAACCAATACAATTCAACTACCTGTTAAATAAACCACCGAGTACATTTTGACATTATTTAAACATATTTATTATTTCTCTGTGATATTTTTTATAAATTTTAATTATTAATATAAATTTAATGATGATATAAATTGGCATATTTAGGAGGGGTATTTATGCTCATTTAATTAATTCAATTATCAATGAATTGAATTGATCGTGAACATTTCACATTTATCATTCTATTATTTAAAAATATTAAATAAAATTATATAATTAATGAGGTTTAATTTTAATCATTTAATTTAATCATATTAATTATTACATTAACATTTAAGTATATCATTGTATATTAGCAGTAATATTAAATAATATAAAACACAACAATTATAATGATATAAGAAGTAATACAACTAAACGGTAACAAATAGATTAGTAATTACACACATTTTGTTCATTTAAAGCGATCCATCAAAGTATGATCCGCCGGAAGTGATTGAAAATAGTGGCCTTTTATGCGCTCATCAAATGTTTTTATATCCCACTAATAAGACAGAGATTGTGGGAAATGATTGCAAGTATGCGTTTTTATATACAATGTTTCACTCATGTCTTGGCTCTAATATATGCAATAATTTGGACATAGATTTGTGATATTACCGAAGGATGAATGGGAATCACTCATTGCTTTCTATTCTAACGATTTTGAAATACAATTTTTGGTTCTTTTGAATGAAAATAACGACAAATTCATCGAATCTATTCCTTGTAAGTCAATTAACTTTCTCTTCGCACTCAATACAATTCAATTGCAATTTGAATGGCTTATACTCACGTCAAACACATAATTGATTTAAAAAAAAATTTTGTAAAAACGGCCTAAAAGACCTCACATTTTTAAAAATAGTATTCTTAAGTTTTTATATAATTTATTTATTTTTAATGAACTAATTGTAAGAATGTGGAGATGAGACCAAAAATATATTACTTATACAGCTTTTTATTGTGGAGATATTGTTATATGTTATTCGTTTCCCAATTCTAAATATCATGTAAGCCTTGTATTAAACGTAAAGTTGTAATCAAAAAGACATTAGAATCGTATTAGAAGTTACTATTTGTATGGTCTGTACAATACATTGAATTGTATTGAATGCGGACTTGAAATCCTTTGGCTCCATAGCAAACATTATGGCATTGAGTTTTGAAACCGAATTTAGTTCACAATACCATTGATTGTCCACTAATTTATATAATATTTTGTTGAATTGGATAGCATTTTGTGATTCATGTTTCCAAAGTCTGATACTGGAAGAGGAGAGGGAAAGACTTACTTATAATAATCAGTTTATTTATGTGAGAAAAGTGGAGAAAAACGAAAGTAATTCGGATGACTCTCACGACAAACAAGAGATTAATTCTGATGGTTATCATGAAGTAAGTGATTAAACATTACTGCATATACCTATTTATGTAATAACAATCATATCATGTAATCATTGCATTGTATTCGCGAAACACTGACTAAAATGTATGAATTAATAGAAAATGAATGGAAAGAAATTCAAAAAAGAAGATACAAAACACGCTTTTATAGGAAACGGAGAAAATAATACGTTTCAAGGCCTGAGACGGAGTTCGCGGCGAAGGAAAAATAAAAATGAGAAGGAAATCAAAGTCTCGTCAACTAATACACTATTAGACCTCAAAATACAGGTAATCCATGCAATGATTGCACGAAATTTTATACATTTATTACTGTTTCTTTGCACTAATTAGTTAATCATATTCTCATCTGTTTTGCATTTGATTACAACAAATATTTTATAAATTGATTTTTTGGTACTTTTCAGAATTAATAAATTGAAACTTATAATATAATATAAATTTAATTGTAAGAAAGTTGAGATTACTTGAGGTTTATTCTACAAAACTTCTACAATTCTATTATGTAATGCTTTGATATAAATGAGAATAACATATTTGTAAAAACTATGTGTTTTAGATAATGAATATATTCCGAGTGGCGCCCTATGACCAGAACCTGTCCCTCAATGACAAACCACTCGATGCCAACAATAAGACTTTAGCCGAACTTCACGTCGAACCCTATTCTATAATCACTCTCACTGTAAGTACTATTTTATTTAATAATACTTTTTATATCATATTATTTACTAAATAGATTTTTTGAAAAGTGTTTTAATATTCACAAGAATTTATTCAAAGAATTGAATGCATATTTGAATATTCTTCGAATATATGCTACTTTATTTACTATTTATTATAATTTTCATTAAAGGCCATTAAATGGGGTAAAAAATTAATGGATACCGTTCTTATTCTCAACAGCATCTACTGTATACTATATAACTATAGATTCTATAATATAGTGTGTTATCAACAAATTAAGGATTGATTGAATCAATTGATTATTGAATTATCGATATTTAATTAATATTGAGTTTAATTAGATTTATAACAAACACTTGTCATAAATCTGATTTGCGATTAAAGATTTTGGTTTTAATACCCGATTCACTTGATCTATGAATTTAAATACACGAATATATCTCCCATCCATACGAATGAATAGTATTGAATACATTTTAAAAACTGATTATTTATCTG